TGGGGGTGATTTTTGGGTCATTTTGTGGAGATTTTGGGATGATTTTGGGATGACTCTGGGGGTTATTTTGGGATAATTCTGGGGCGATTTTGGGGTGACCCTGGGGCGATTTTGGGCGGATTTTGGGGTGACTCTGGGGGTGATTTTGGGGTGACCCTGGAGCAATTTTAGGCTTATTTTGGGGTGACTGGGGGTGATTTTGGGGTGACTCTGGGGCTGATTTTGGGATGACCCTGGGGCTGATTTTGGGGTGACCCTGGGCTGATTTTGGGCTGATTTTGGGATGACCCTGGGGCTGATTTTGGGGTGACTCTGGGCCGATGTTGGGCTGTTTTTGGGGTGACCCTGGGCCGATGTTGGGCTGATTTTGGGGTGACCCTGGGCCGATGTTGGGCTGATTTTGGGGTGACCCTGGGCCGATGTTGGGCTGATTTTGGGGTGACCCTGGGGCCGATTTGGGGCTGATTTTGGGGTGACCCTGGGGCTGATTTTGGGGTGACCCTGGCCGATGTTGGGCTGATTTTGGGGTGACCCTGGCCGATGTTGGGCTGTTTTTGGGGTGACCCTGGAGCAATTTTAGGCTTATTTTGGGGTGACTCTGGGAGTGATTTTGGGGTGACCCTGGGCCGATGTTGGGCTGTTTTTGGGGTGACCCTGGCCGATGTTGGGCTGATTTTGGGGTGACCCTGGGCCGATGTTGGGCTGATTTTGGGGTGACCCTGGGCCGATTTTGGGCTGATTTTGGGGTTCCCCAGACGTGTCCCGGGCCGTGGAGCTGCTGGAGCGGCTCCAGCGCAGCGGGGAGCTGCCCCCCCAAAAGCTGCAGGCGCTGCAGAGGGTCCTGCAGAGCAAGTTCTGCTCCGCCATCCGCGAGGTGACCCCGAATCCACCTGAAAACCCCCCAAAAAACCCCAAATCCACCCCGAAACCCCCCAAAAATCCCAAATCCATCTGAAAAACCCCAAATCCACCCTAAAAAAATCCCAAATCCACCCCAAAACCCCCCAAAAAACCAAATCCA